TGTTTGTTTGATAAATTCATTGTTGAAGAATAAAACAAGCACCTTGCAGTGATCAAGTGGACATTGAAAGTGCATCCAAGATCAAGCTTTGTGATCCTTCAGTTTTTCACGAATGTAAAGTGTTGAGCGTTCAGTTGAGCAGTGGTCAGTTGCTTTCAATGCTCCTTACTAATCATAAGACCATTCCGGACGTTAGAACACCTCTCAGTCGTAAATATTCATTCAACTGATGCGTTACAAATTGCCTATCAGAAGCGTTCTTTCCGATTGAATATCGGAATGCGCAACGCGTTTCGAAAACAGTGAAATCTATTTACTGAATCGACGAAAGTATTTCATTGATTTTGTTCGTATCTCATTTCACGCACACTTATAACGAGTCAGTCAGTCATTCCAGGAGCGGATTTGTCTAAGATATCGCAACCGTCATCTGCAACGATGCAACTTCCAAGATTCGATAGCAATTCGTTAGCGTTGCTCAGTTCATTCGTTCGCCAGAATCTGTGCATTTAGTTGGTTCGTAATTGTTTGTTTTGTACATCATCTCATCCACATCACAAGCATTCCATTTGAATTGGCCTCATTCAATCGCATTTCAAAAAACTGCATTATTTCATTGTGAATCATAGTTTAATTACCGAAAAATTAAATATGATAGAACTCATCTCTCAGCCTTACTGCAGACATCGTAGGCACGGAGATGGAGGGGGGTGGGGGGAAGGGCTCACAGGAAGACCCCACCCATTTCCAAAATTTGACATTTTGAAAAATGAAATGTAATGCTCATATCACCATTCACCATGGGTCTTCAATCATGACGGATATTACAAATGGATATGGCTGTCAGCGTTTTCTTCGTTTAGTATATTAGCCCCGAAAAAGTTGAAATAGCCGCCCCGGATTTCAGTTGTTTCGTTTATTGCCACCGATCTCAGTGCAGTTACCTGATCTCTCAAGAACACTCTATCGTCATCTTATTTCTTCATATACCTGTTTCAGGTTGTTTATGACTTTCGACTTAATCGGCAGAAGGATATAATGATCTCATAAATTAGTTTGTTATCGATGTAAGAATATATAATATAAATCATTAACTGTGATATTAATACTTGTGATATTGGCGTATTAATGTGCCTCTATTGTATTACATTGCTGTACGAAAGATGAATGCAATCAATCAGAATCCAGAACGAATGGAATGGATATTGTTGTTGTTATTGTCATCTCATTCACGTATTTATTGCACGAAAAGAAAATTTCATTGTTCCGAAACCAGAAATTCTTTTCGTTTTATGATTGTCTTCATTATGATTTCACTTTCCGCCGTTGATTCTTTTTTTTAACTTACCGGTGTGACCATTCGTCACGATTTTATCTCTTCGAAGAGCGGTGTATGACTCGGGATGCAATTTTATTATATGTTAACACATTAAAAAGTGCGAGCTTTGATTGCTCACCGCAACATTGCGTTCAATTTCACATCTAACTTCCATCTGTAATTCTTACAGATGCAACGTTTTTCTGCACGTTAACTACGCTGAAAACTCAATATGAGCGTCATTATGAGATGATAACGAGAACAATCCACATAAACTTTTCATGCTTCATTGGTGCATCAAAACCGAACGGACTGCTAAACGATCTCTGCTGAGCAAGTAATTTCCGACAAATGTCAAATGCTTATGGATGCTAACGAGACTTTTATGGTAATTCTGAAAATGGGTTCCGATTTGTAGAGCTAGCATGTGGCAAGAGATGTTGAGCTTCGAAATGGAATCATGCGAGCAAATTGAGCGATTTTCGTAGTTTGCCTGGAATTCTCAAATTTATCAAACTTGAAATGAATGGATGGGATTAAATGAAGAATGAATGAGAATGGATTGATTCGATGCTGAACTCACCGATTGTAAGGTTTATGTAAGGTGCATCATTTTAATGAGGATAAATGACAGTTCAGTTATGAGCGCAGTGCAATCCTTCGTTTACAGATCGTTGATATCGAGTGAGTAACGTACAAGCAAAAATTTCATTTTGTAATTTTTTCGATTTGAAATTCATTTTGTAATTTGAATCGAAATATTTTTTCGAGAGTGATGTTTGATTGGAACAGTCAAGGGAAACGTTATCTCCGAAATGATTCATCTGTTCAAGATCGTACATCAAAACAAGAGAGCAAAACAAGTGCAACAAAATGTGAACGTATCAAATGAGAATCATTGAAAATCACTAAAAACATGAAAAAATTTACTGAGAGTGAGGTAAACAGGCAATCCAATAGATATTGAGTGAAGGGTGAAGAAAAAGATAGCGAAAACACGACAACGCTTCGTGAAATTGGAAAGTGAGAGTACGGAATTGGTAAGTTCATGGTGTAATTTCTGCGTTTGTTCAATGAAAACAAAATGTGAAAACACCGAGACGTCGTGATATTCAGGTTTCGATTGTTTGTCATTCTTTGCCGATGGAAAATATTAATTTTAGTCGATGATTACTTAAGTGAATTAGTCACCGTCAAACACAGTCACAACGCAATCATGTCATTGTGCGACCTCAACGGATTTAAAGTTTTAATGATTAATCCTACGAAGACCTCTGTGCATTTGATAATATCATAACGCAACGCTCCATTTCTTCGCAGCTCTCCATTTCTGATCAGATGTGATTTCAACGAGTGTATTGTGTAGGTGGTCGATTGGATCATGAACTTTTTATGGCGCATTCTCGTTGCGAATGAACGAGCGCCACTCGATATTCATCCGTTCATAGAATTTCCTCAGGGTACAAGTAGAAAAAACTGAATGATTCGATGGTATGTACGGAGAATTGATTGGAGTTGTTCGACGATTTCTTTTGATATTTGTTAGATGCGAAATTATGGAATGAAGTGGAATTGTGATGCGTTGTGGTCATTTACGTGAATATTGAAGAAGTGATGTGAATGAAATTCACACAAATTTAAGTTCTGCATGTGTATATGTACGCCTGATCGTGATACAAAACCATAACAAATCGCAATGACAATTCAACGTAAAATGATGAAAGATAGAAATTAAATGTTTGGGAGAGGACGAGAAATTTTGCGAAACTTGTTTCCATTGTCATTTTCACTTCGCTCGCACCCAGTGACCCGATGAGAAGACGTTCAATGAGGGGAACAGATCGACAACATCAGAACATTGTTTGCGTGCGGATCTGATTCGGATGCAGGGCCAATCCGGTCGTTCAGTTGTCTATATCTTTTTCATTGTGGGATGCGAGTGATGATGGATAGAGCATCCGTCGCCTTACGTTCTTAACATATTTTAACCTTGATTCATACTCTTCCTCGCCACTTTCACCTGATTATGATGTTATATGCATTTCGATTTATTTTCAATATAATATTCTAATTCAAATGTGTGTCACCAATAAGTATACAGATTGTTAATAAATATTTCTGTCTGTTTGATTTTCATGACTATGTAAAGTTAACGTTACGCATTCGCCTTCCCGACAATTTTTTGTGACGATTGTCTTCTTCTGGAAGTCCGAAATCAGCGATTAAGAAATTGAATGATCACTGTTGCAGAAATGCGGGACATGTTGAAGGCTTTTCTACTGCTCATATTTGTGCAACAATCGCTGCAGTCATTTTGTGGCTCTTCTGGAGTTCCGTTCAGTTTCGAAGTCCTACCGTCAGGTGAGCACATTGTGCATCCAATTGTCAAAAAATTATAACATTCTTTAGACTGTACAACACTTGTACAAAAAGCTACGCTACATTTGTTATTAACATGTTTATAAAGAATCGGAAAATGTAAAAANATATAATGACAAATACCGATATATAATGACAAAGATGTCACTGTAGGATTGACGAACAGAAACGAATCGTCGAGAAAATTTAGTAAATACTATCAACAAAATCAGTCTTGTTATGTTGTGTGCATTATTTTCCAGGTGCACCAGTACTGGGTTGCGCACAGCCAAGCTGTGTAGCAGGTCCGGACTCGGTCAACGAAGACAGCATCTTCGTCAGAGATATTGATGGACAAAGTGATGGATTCTTTCGAGAAGGCGACAGGGAACTGAAACGTTATCGTGATCAGTCGGCTCCAAAGCTGATTGCTGTAAGTTGATCTGAATTGATCAATCATATACTCAATCACATCTTCAACGCTTCATTCAGACATTCTTCATAGTAACCCACCAATCTAGCGTTGATTATCAAATCAAAAAAAAACTTCAATGTTACATCGTTAAAGGGACGATAATTTGTTTACATCTGCCAAACCAGATCTGAGAAAAAAACAGACCACTCCAAATGACTCGTGATCGAGCACTCTTCATTCTAACTCTTTCCAAAGTTAATAGCACAATAACTTTTGTCCCATTATGAGCAATTTCCTTACCAGCATATTACGCAAACTGATCAGTCGCTTATTTCAATAACATCTCTCCTTGTTTGTGCGATGCACTGAAATTTCCTGTCCATGTAACTTTCACCAATCACACAAAAAATTTGACTCAAATTTGCTATCGATGAAACTTTCATCGTGCATCAACACTACTGTCACTTATCAATCATATTCGTTCGGATATAAGAGCGAATGCTCGGCACATGACAGAGAGATAGATTGCTGTTCTCAAAAGTGTTCATTGATAGAAGACAGCGAAAGGTGAGCAAGCGAATGTTCAGTGAGTTGACCCAATAAATGACATTTGGCATGAGATTGTGCACAAAACGCGATAAATCAGCGTATGTCCGCGCGATTTTCATACGCTCGAAGTCTCAGGATAGAATCGGTCACTGAGCGTAACATTCACAGAGATTTCGTTCCGATTGTTCCAAAGCAATAGACTGCAAAACAATAAACACTAGACAGTCGACCATTTCAAAACTTTCCAC